ACACACACACATACACACATACACATACACATACACACACACACACGCACACACATACACATACACATACACAGAAACAGACACCTGCACACACTCATACACACACACATACACATACACACATACATACACACACACACACACACACACACACACACACACACAGAAACACACACATCTGCACACATACAGAAACACACATCTGCAACCTCACATACAAACATCTGCAACCACACATACAAACATACATTTATACACATACAAAGAGACAGAAACACAACAGGCACATTTTATAGACAGACTGTATACACACACACACAGCCTTAGTCCCAACGATCAGTCCCCCTGTCCAGCTTACACTAAGTGCGTTATTGAGACTAGAACGTTCTTTTAAAAGTCCAATCGTGACATCTCACACCCTGCCCGCTTGGAGAAAAGTCTGGACGGAATCCCAGAGCTGCGCGCCAACTCGTGTGTGTGGGAGACCGAGCATATGGGAGCAATCTTTATTGGTGGAGGTGTGCGCACTTTGACAAAAGCTGGGCGGGAATACAAGCGTGGATAGTGTGTCCCTCTCATTCCTCGTGGCTTTTTTATTTCTCGCAATCCAACGATTGTTTTTGTGGCCGACGCATCTAGGTATGTACAAAGCAACATAGATCTATCTGCACACACACCTTTGTTGTCTATTTAACCACACTGGGAATCATTTTCTTTTTTTGTGACTTTTTGTTACTAGACAACAATAGTAATAGCAGGGAGTGTTTACAGTATTGCTGTAAAACTTTCTGGTAATAGATCTAGATATCTAGTAAATACATGTATGCATTTGTCCCTTCCCTCTGCGTTTTTTCTATTTGGAAAACTAATTCCTTGCAATTTTTCGACTGTTTTTGTGCAAACTAATACCGAGGTATGCGTGTACAATTTCTTAACCAAGTGTTTCGAAACATTTTATGTTTACAAATCAATAGTGTAAAATGTTAGAGTTGATGCAACAAACTGACGCCGTATGTCAGAAAGATGGTATGTGAAAGGAGACACTTTCCACAAAGAATTTTGTGCTATGGACTTCATGCATTTTTCGTGTATCGGAGTTTAGATTCTATTGCAGATTATCTTCACCGTCGCAGGCAGGCGTGTATAAATGTTCAGTTCATTGTCCGTTTCTGCTTGACGCAGTATTGCTTTCAGATGCTCTTCTTCTTCTTCAATTGCTTTTTATTGAATTTCTTTGATTTTTTCAACCTCGAAACAGCTATAGAATTTGCTAGTATCCAATAACCAATCACCCACTGGTATATCATAGGACGTGGATGCCTTTTCTCCCGCCAACATTTAGCGGTGAAACTACAACATACTATTGTCCTCAATCAAACTGTTGGGTAGGTATCGGTAACATGTTGTCGTTCTTCCGGGGTTGGGTAACGAAGTTTGTGAATTAACAGAGGATCTGTGCAGGAATTTCCCTTATGGGTGAAATGTTTGTTGTCTTATGCGTGCTAGAAAATGGTACATTTAAGCGAAGGAACAATGAACCGATTTCTGAAGTATAGCCTTCACACCACCCACAAGGACACATAAATCTTGGGACAGAACGGTTTTCGTTACAGCAACAGCAAGACAATAATCTGACGACGATTCAGCTACACATCAACTTCCGGTAAACGATTATTTGCCTTTACCAAAGATAGTACAAGACAAGATGGGCCACTCAGCCTAAAAAGTGTCCGTAGGAAGTATGCTCTTTGCTTCAGATAGCGCTGCAGTCTGTTTTGAAGCTCTCTTTCGTTTTTCCAGAAGAAGAATAGGAATAGCACCTCCTTGCGTGCGCAGATCGACTGCTGTTCATCAGCAGTTCGGGTACGTTCAGTGCGGAGTTTTAGGTTTTTTTTTATTTTAATGACCTCTCGCCTTTCATTCTAAAGTCAAATTAAACGAAGAAAACCATCTCCTTTTCCTCCGGAAGAGGTTTTTTGTCAGCGTAACCATTTTTAAAAAGCGTTCTTCCGAAATTTATCCCAAAACTTGCTAGTTTCACTTTGATTTTTTAAAACTCAAGTAGAGTAACTCTGTTCGCAAAGAGTGCGCTTTTGTGAAGAGGGCGCCACCAAATTTTGAGGACACTTTTTTAATTGGCTCAAAGAGAGAAGTGGCCCATCTTGTCTTGTACTATCTTTGCCTTTACTTTGAGATAGACACGTTCAATACAAGGCATTCTTTATTCCACTTTAAAAAAAAGAGCGACGATTAGCTACATATCTTCGCCTTATCACATGACGATGGTAAACGCAACCACCACATGGGCTTGATCTTTGCTGGACTGTATAAAAATGATTCCCTGTAACAATAAAAAACATATGTTAGGTTCTATACCTTTGATTTGACCGAGCCATGAACAGACGGACCAAAGAACCCAACTAAAGAGCCAAAGAACTATTTTCTTTTCCTGCCTTCAGAAAGTTCTTCTTGAACTATTTCTTTCTTCCCTTCCCATTTCGTTGATCGGCCTCGCGTGTTTCAACCAGAAGTCATCCAAGGGCACCATCCGAATTGTAAATAGCCATCATAACGTACAAAGCATCATGCACTCGAGACCGCCAGGCAGAAGAAAACATCTCCCGGTAACTTCTTTGGCACAGGAAAACACTTGGTTGGGGTCGAGATCTACCTGTGTTTTCCTTACCGCATGCTACTTTCCTCTTATTGTTTCGTTACCGCCACTTTTTCTCCTTCTTCTTTTGGCTTTTGAGACAATGCTGGAAACGTTATTACGTATTTTCTTTTTGTTTTGTTTTCATCTCTCATTCCAACTCACCCCTAATTATGCCTGTTTTATTTCTGGGAACCTTTTTTCATAGAAGACACCCCCCTTCTTCTCCTTTGCGTACTTTTTTCTGCTTTATGCAGAGGACACATTTTTTTGGGGTGGGAGAGAGAGAGAGAGTGAGTGAGAGAGACAGAGAGAGAGACAGAGAGAGAGAGAGAGAGAGAGAGAGAGAGAGATGAGGGAGAGGGGTTGGGTGGTTCTAATATCTTGTATCGTAAGGTCAAATCAAGCCATTGCAAGAGACACCCAATGTAAGCCCTACGTCTTTTCTGTAAGTTCTAGTTAATCAGTTAAAAGCAGGTTAGGGAACAGAGTATGGGAAAAGTATAGTGTTATGTGGGAATCGTAAACCATAAACGTTTTGAAATCAGTATCGAGATAAGGAGACGAGAAAGCTATAAAGGACCTAGGGCTGGGCCGTGGTACTGGCGCTCTCAAGGCTTGCAAAAGCTGTCGTCTTTACCACTGGCGCGTGGGGACAGTAGAATAGACTGACAATATTTATCAGCCACGACTTTCATCGAGAGATCTTCAAGATAACAAAGAAAGGAGCATCTGTTCGCTCACATGCTGCCATAATACTCACGTATGATCGTCGGACAGGTAAATGACTTTAAAGGAAAAGTGGCTCTTTTATTGATTCTTTCAGGGGTTGAGGAGAGACTCATCAGTATTGTATTGCAGACATTTTGATTGTGCCGGCTTTAGAACGTTATTTGACAAGCTGAAATTTCGATCTCTGTAATTTATTTAAAGAACAAAAAAAGAATATCAAAGGTAAAAGTACTTCTGTCAGGTCGCTGACGTCACATAGGAGGTGTTTCAAGGTGAGGGGACTAGACTTTCACTCTTCGACTTCACAAAGAAGAATGATAAGGCCAGGGTAATTTTCACAGTTACGTCCTTTTAAGTTGGCAAAAGTTTGAACATTTCGCAGGCAGGTCACTGACGAGGTACACCACGTGACATCATTAGATTTGCGGGTTCAAACTCTGAACAACATGTACAGTCGTAAAGTTCTCTAACGACCACCTGTCCAAGGCAATGAGTCTCAATGACCTTACAAAACGACCACGCCCCACTTCACCTTTGACCTTTTTTTTCTGCATGATATTACAATAAATGAAACCGTCCTGAAGGACCACCTGTCTAAAATGACCACTTTTCTCTTCGACATGGGTGACCGTCTTGGACAAGTCAGACTGTGATCTTTTGTTGCGATTATCATAAAATGCTTAACAGCGTGATGGGTCCTTTAATATTGTTCAGCTATGACAAACTACAGTTTACTACTAGGGCTTCCCGCTGTGGCGATATGGACAGGCATAAAACAATAACGGTTTTCGACAGCTGCTGGTGGGTACTGAAGGGCTGAGGGTTGTATATTCTCCTGGTTGTATTTTCAGCGGGTAGCTGGGCACATACATTTATTAACAAGATACAATTACACCCCCCCCTCCCAAACCTCTCTCTCTCTCTCTGTCTGCTGTCTCTCTCTGTCTCTCTCTGTCTCTTTCTGTCTCTCTCTGTCTCTCTCTGTCTCTATCTCTGCCTGTCTCTCCTGTCTCTCTCTGTCTCTCCCTGTCTCTGTCTCTGCCTGTCTCTGTCTCTGCCTGTCTGTCTCTCTGTCTCTCTCTCTCTCTCTCTCTCTCTCTCTCTCTCTCTCTCTCCTTTTCCATCTCCCCCTCTCTCTCTCCTACTTTATCCCCCTCCCCCGTTCTTTCTCTCCTACTCTATCCCTCCCTCTCTGTCACTCTCCTACTCTCTATCTCTTTAATCTTCTCCCCCCCATCTCTATTATTATTACGTATGTGCATGCGGGCATAACATATTAATGTACAACCATCTTTAATATACATGTACTCTCTCTCTTGCCCTTTTTAACTCCCAGTGGAGCACAGGCCATCAACAACATTACTCCAGCGAAGCCTGCCCTGAGCATCCTTTTCTATCTGTTTCCATGATGTCCCCGCTTTTTCAATTTCCGCTTGTACCGCTCGTCTCCATGTCATCTTTGGTCTTCCCTTCTTGTACGAGTGTCATATTATTATGTGGGTGCGATTTTGTCTCCGAGGTGTTATACCCGAGAACAGCATGAGGAACAGCAGAAGTGTCGGTGCAAACTGTTTTATTTGGTCTAAATTGCTGGTAAAATAACTAGATTTGCAAGTATAAATCTTGGAGAGATAATTTGTACCAGGTGCTTTTTTTTCCCAAGGGTATAAGTTTTATGACAAGCTCTCGATCTGGAGTGAAAATAATTTAGTGTATATGTGTCATGGCGCAGTGGAATCGGGCGCTCGTCAATTTTTTTTTAAATGTGAAGGGAATGGTATCATCTGAAAGCTTGTGACTTTGCCTTGCTTTCAGTGAAACAAATACCCATGTTTCTTGAATAGAAGTCGAGATAATTGTGATCGAAAGAGGTGAGGTCTAGTGGTCTGAGTTTTAAAATTAGGGAGAAAACGGGCGCCAAAGTTTGGGAACTTCAATAGCTGGAGAATCCCTGAAAACAAAAAATGACATATTTTGTTCTTCTAATCAACGTTTTTCAGTAAAATTCAAACGGGAATGTGTTTCCTTATGGGCATAAGAGGTGTTGAACAAACAAAAAAACAAAACAA